CTCTATAGCCTCAGAAACCCTATACAGGGTCGCTATGAGCTGAAATGGACTCACTGGCAGTAGGTTTGGGCTGGGGTACTATAGGAAGTCCCTAGGTGGCACAAACAGATTATGCTTGACTTTAAGGTTGGCGGTTCAAACCCAACCAGAGACACAGTGAAAGAAATGCCTGCCAATCTGCTTTTTAAGACTGTTGTTGTTATTGTTGTTAAGTGCTGTTGTTGTTGTTGTTGTTAAGTGCTGTTGAGTCAACTCCAACTCACAGTGACTCTTGCAGAGGGTTTCCAAGGAGTGGCTGGTGAGTTTGAACCACTGACCTAGTGAGCAGTGCATTATCCTGCAGCGCCAAATCAACAGCCAAGGAAGCCCAATAGAGCTGTTCTACTCTGGGACACACGGGTAGCCATGAGTCAGAACTGACACAACAGTTTGCGTTCAGGTAGTATACAGTGTTGCACAGCCCTCACTGAACGACTGCATTTCCTATTGTGCCCAGTTGTGCCCAAAATAAACAACATGTGGTTCAGGGCAAGATGGCAGAGTAGGTAGATACACTGAGAAGACCCACTGCAACCAAGACATGGGAGAACAAGTGAAAGAGACAGAGATGGTGATCCCAGAAGCCTGAGCTTCAGAAGACAGGACAGAGGAGGCGGGGGAGTGCTGACTGGAAGTGGGAGTGGAAGCAGAGAGAGATATGGAAGAGGAAGTTGAACAGGAATCAGGAGAAGCGAGAAGAAAAACAGGCAGACTATCAACTGGCTCAGAGTGGCACATTATCTTAAGCTTTTGCAAGTGGCGGTGTACTGGTGTGGCGCTGTAGGTTAATGCACTGGACAGCAAGATCGGTTTGAACCGCCACGTCGGCGGTTCAAGCTCACCAGCTGCTCCTTGGAAACCCTATACAGTGTCGCTATGGGTCAGAAATGACTCGATGGCACTTAACAACAATAACAACCAACAGAGGGGGGTGTAGTCCTCCTTTGGTCCCTTGTCCTCCTGGTAGCCAGGGGCGTGGCCTGTTCCATCATCACCAGTGCAGTGGCCAATGGCAGTCCCTCCTGTGCAGGTATGGCTGGGGACCGAGCATACAATTCCTTCTTACAAAGGCACTTGAACCTGCTCTAACTAGACTACACAAACAGTGATCAGAGAACTGTGTTCAGACTTCCAGTCCCTATTGCATCCACCAGGATGAGAATACACCAACACACAATCACACCAAATCAATAGAAATATAACAATGCCTCGAAGAAAAACAGACAATTGCAGCTTACTGGAAGAAACAAAAGTTCTTCAAACAAGGACCAAAATATAGAGGCAGGAAATATACCAAAACTGGTATCAGAATGACAAGAATGTTATTTAGGCACACTCAAGAATTGAGAGAAAGATTGATGAAAGCAAAGAAGAATTCAGGAAAACACTAT